CGGCTAGGATATAACCTGGTACAACCTAATACAACAAGGATTACTGAAGGGGTGATGAATACACCCTTGCAAAGTTAAATTCATTCACGCACGAACTACAGTGAAGTGAATATCATTATATTGTCGTAGACAATTTCTAAGTTTACTTTTGTCAACTTTTCATTATATTTCTTCAGCTGTCATTAATTCAGGTAAGCATTTTTCATCTACATATATACTTTACGATTTGCTCATAAGCTATATCGTATATCAAATTTATTTGTTCCTCGGGTCCTGAGGATTTTAATACCACACTTGTATACCAACGTTGTTGGTTTATCTGAACTGTTCTTCATGTTTTTGAAGTTTGTTCTGACTAATATAATTGTACCAACGTTGTTGGTTTATCTCATGAACTGTTCTTCATGTTTTTGAAGTTTGTTCTGACTAATATAATTGTACCAACATTGTTGGTTTGAAGTTTGTTCTGACTAATATAATTGTACCAACGTTGTTGGTTTATCTCATGAACTGTTCTTTATGTTTTTGAAGTTTGTTCTGACTAATATAATTGTACCAACGTTGTTGGTTTATCTCATGAACTGTTCTTCATGTTTTTGAAGTTTGTTCTGACTAATATATAATTGTACCAACGTTGTTGGTTTATCTCATGAACTGTACGTTCTTCATGTTTTTGAAGTTTGTTCTGACTAATATACTTGTACCAACGTTGTTGGTTTATCTGAACTGTTCTTCATATTTTTGAAGTTTGTTCTTATAATGTACCTTTGGCTATCCAGAGCTTGCCAATCGGCGACGCGAAAATGTCTGCCAGGCTTGCTTTTACAGGCGAAACTTTTACATTACATATTAGCATCGTTTTTTCTTGCGGCCCAACGATGCCATATTTTTAGCACGTATACTCTATATAATCACTTCTTATTACTATTGTATACTGTTCTGTAAGTTTTATCATTATATAGTATGCCACCCACAAAAAGGCAATCACGTAAGCTACCAGCCAACGGCCCGGCTAGCGGTTCGCGTCCTCGACGTAGTCCTCGTTCGTCGACTAGAAGCAACACGGCAGCCACTCTTAATGCTGCTCCACTCACAACCGTTGTACCACCGGCAACTCTCACGGCACCGCAGGAAGAATTGCAAAGGTCCAATCTCCCAGCGCTGCTCGTACAATTGCCAGCGACTGTTTATCCACCGGCTGCTGGTAGCAATGCGACAAGTCCCATCTCGTCCATGACGCCAGAACTGTTTCAGGAGTTGGTTTCGTCGGTGACTGCTGCTGTAAATGCAACCCACGCATCCACGCCAAGAGCAGAGGAGCCTCTTTCCACATCACCTCCTTCTGCGCCAGCTGCTGTTTTGCCTCAAAGTGGACCAATGGCGATGCCATCTTCTACCTCTGGTTTTCCTGACACAGCTAACTTGGTAACTGGGGCGATAGCTGCGGCTCACGCGAGCATCTCAGGTGAGCCGCAGTTGTTGCCTACTATTAGAACTAGTTTTGGTCATAGCCCTGCGAGTTCTGCCGAGCCCACTCAAATTTTTCATTCAGCCAGTTTGCCACTTGATTCCAGGGTTTCGGCAAAACTCAAAGGAAAAATATGGAATGAGGAGTTTGTCGCTTTTGGCAGCTTGTTGTCGTTAAGCAATACTGAACACGAGAAATTTCAAATTTCCTTTATGAATTCGGAAGCGGGTCTTCCTGCTTCCTTCTGCCTCGAGCCGGCGCCGAGGCCCAAAAATATCCAAAGCATTGAAGTTTGGCTGCAAGCGTTCCATATAATTATTTGTAGGCATTTATACTCAAAAATACCCACATGAGGCCCCCGCCCTCATGAAATACGGGCAAACAATTCAGGACTTGGCGTCTCGCGGGCAGAATTGGCGTTTTTACGATGAGAATTTTCGCTTTCTACGTCAAACTCAACGCAGTCTAGTTCCCTGGGGTTCTATTCACGGGGAACTGTGGCTGCGTTCCCAATACAGCATGAACATAACGCGAAAACAACCTCCAGTTCCCCCAATAAGGCAAAATAGATTCTCTAATGATTCTAGGCCGCGGCCAAATAATCAAGTGCCGTGGGGTTATTGTTTTAAATTCCACCAGGGCCTAACTTGTTCAGGTTGTGACTTTAGTCACATTTGTTTTAAATGTCAAGGCAATCACCGAGGCAATCAATGCGAAAGTAATTTTCGTGTCTCAAAAGGAAAGTCACGCGCCAATGACGCACGCAACGCCAAGTCCATCGCAATTACCCACGCCGGTCAAAATTCAGCCCTTAATTAGTTTGTTATCGGGTTACAAGCCATCTATTGTAAATATTTTAATTTCTGGTTTCTCGCGCGGTTTTCCATTGCATTTTCAGGGAGAAATTCAACAACTTCAGCCGAAAAATTTAGCTTCTGCTTTAGACAATCCGGAAATTGTTGACATGAAACTAGGCAAAGAATTGGCTGCACATTGTTTGGCAGGTCCATTTTCGTCCCCGCCATTTGATTCCTTTCGCGTTTCTCCTCTTGGGATGGTACCTAAGAAAACACCAGGGGATTTTCGTTTAATCCATCACTTATCATTTCCCAAGGGCTCATCGGTTAACGATGGAATATCCCCCGAGCATACAAGCGTACATTATGCAACTGTGTCTGACGCTATACGTTTGATAAAAGCCGCAGGACATGGCTGTTTCTTGGCAAAAACTGATATAAAAAACGCCTTTCGAATTATGCCGGTTGATCCGAATGACTATAATCTCTTAGGAATGATATGGCGCGGGATGTATTATTACGACAAGTGCTTGCCAATGGGATGTGCAAGTTCATGCAAAACTTCGAATCATTTAGCACTGCGGTGGAATGGATTGCTCGACATAAGTGCAATATCGACAAACTCCTTCATTTACTCGACGATTTTCTTTTTATTTCTCCTACGCACAGCCGGTGCCAGGATACATTGGATAGATTTTTAAAATTATGCGCTCAACTCGGAATTCCAATTGCACCTGAAAAAACTTTCGGTCCCGCAACGACTCTCACATTTGCGGGTATTGAGTTATAGATTCTATAAAATGTGAAGCCCGTTTACCGAGCGATAAAATCGAAAAGTGTGGGCAAACTATTGCGAACTTTCTACATCGAAAGAAGGTTACCCTCAAAGAACGCCAATCTTTGATAGGATTATTGAATTTTGCTTGTTCCGTGGTTACGCCAGGTCGCGCATTTTCGCGACGGCTTATTGACTTAACACATGGGGTCAAAAATCCCGGTCACTATATTCGTCTGAGCCGTGAGACCAAGGAAGATTTGCGCCTTTGGCAAACCTTCTTATCTTCTTTCAATGGTGTGTCCTTTTTTCTGGACGAAACATGGCGGAATTCGAACAAACTGAATTTGTTTACTGATGCGTCAGGCTCCATCGGTTTCGGCGCTATTTTTGGCACAGAATGGTGCTATGGCCGTTGGCCTTCTGAGTGCATGGCAGCATCGCAACATTGCTATTTTGGAATTCTATCCAATTGTCCTGAGCCTTTGCCTGTGGGGTCATCATATGTGCAACCAATCTATTTTATTTTTTACTGATAATGAAGCATTAGTTCATGTTATCAACAAAAAATCATGTCGCGACAAATCTTTGATGTGTTTTGTGCGCAAAATGGTGCTAGTTTGCTTACAAAACAATATTGTATTCAAAGCAAAACATATCGCCGGAATTTCTAATAAATTGGCGGATTCTTTATCTCGCTTTCAGGTGTCCACCTTTCACCAGTTAGCACCGGCCAACATGAACAGGCTTCCAACGGACATCCCCCTTCATCTGCAGCCTCAAAGTTGGCAAGTATAATTACACACTTGGCACAGTCTAGCTTGCAAAAATCTTCCATTCCTACTTATACACGGGCATGGAAATTATTCACTCAATTTCACAGCAGCATATACCAGACAGCCCACTTCACAATGCCTATTTTTCCAGCCACATTAGCACTTTTCATTGCTTACTTATTTGATCGCAATTACGCTCCGTCTACTGTCAATACCTATGTATCCGCCATTGGCTACTCTCATAAGCTATCTGGGTTGCCCGACCCAACTCGGGTTTTCTACATTATTCAGTTGTTAAAGGGATACGCGAAAAATGGCGCACGTTTAGACAGTCGTTTGCCTATTACGTTGCCCATTTTAGAAATGTTACTTAACGCTGCTCCTAATATTCAAGGTTCACGTTATCAAGTATGCCAATTTCAAGCCATGTGTTCCTTGGCATTTTTTGGCTTTTTGCGGATCGGTGAAATTACGGCAACGACGAATGCTGGTTGTCAACCCCTACAATTGCATCAAATCTCTTACGTTTATGGCTCTAGTAAACACGTGGTTGGGTTTACTTTGACCTTTTTGGATTTTAAACACCATTATAATCAACGTCCATTCACCTTGTCGCTACAACGCCAGCATTCGTGTTGCCCTATTGCTCTCCTTCTCGACTACCTAGCATTGCGTGGTAATCAACCTGGAGCAATTTTTATCACACAACAGGGCAACCCAGTCACCAGGGAAGTTTTCGCTGCACGGCTGTCTGAAGCAATAAAATTTTGCGGTCTAAATCCAACTCGCTATAAATCTCACAGTTTCCGAATTGGGGCCGCTTCTTATGCTGCAGAAAAGGGGATGTCGGATGCACAAATCCGCACATTAGGGCGATGGAAGTCTAATGCTTTTCAGAAATACATCAGGGTTTCATCGCCCTCCACCTAACTTTTACTTCTATCTTCTAATATTATTTGTATAATTATGTCCTATCTACAAGACTAGCGGGGAGTCTTGGGGTAAGGCCTTCTCTAATTACCGTAAAGATGCAGCTGTGAACGGGCGACAATTGGTACCACGCAGGGGCTGGTACTGGTTGTTGCTTGTTGCGGTTTCATTTATTTAGTATTTGGTTACTTTACAACATGCAGGTGATAACTGGTACCAAGCAGGGGCTGGTACTTGTTGTTGCGGTTGTATATTATTACATAGTTTACCAGTGTGCAAGGGCCGCTGGCTTCATTTTTCCAGGCTTGTAGATTAACAGGAGTTTCTTAACAACAGTTAGCACGGGCGGCTGTTGTATAGAATTATTTTCATATTAGTTATTTGGTACTTTACTGCATGCTACTGTTAGAACCTACATTTACTATATTCTTGCGCACTGACACATCGCAATTCACAGCTTGCAGGGGCGTCTGTGATTCATCGTGTCTCACTTTATCTTCATATGACGAATAGCGGATGGAGACTTGAGTCTTGCATTGCCTGGGGTGGGGTGCATCTTAGTAGAGTAAGATGCTTTGGCGTAATCTTGCCCTCACCTTTACTGGGCAAAACTGTTTGAGCACATCTTTCATGTGCAATATATATTTATATATAATTAATTAATTTCTGTTATGAAAATTTAAAATAAAGCGGCTGGGGGATTGTTAACCCCCAAGCCAAATTAACCCAATCACGTGTCACGTACAAATTCAGTTTGTCCAGTATAAAACAGAGCTCAATCAATGCAACACTCAAGCTTCGATACGTTTAGGATTGTTATGTCGGGCATAGGGTGGAAAGCATAAAAGAATATTTAAACCAAGCTGCATTATGGAGGTGGTCTATTGTAGAAAGCTTATGCCGCAATCCTGTAATACATAAATTAATAATAATAATAATACATTAATAATAAATAATTAATAACAAACTAGTATACTTAATAGTAGTAAATGCTGACTCGCTCCTTAATCTGACGATATGTGAAAAACGACCTCATCTTTCCACATTAACAACTTACGCCATAGTCTACGACCTGTATATGAGTTTGTATGCGTTTCATTTAGGACAGGTAATCTCAACTGTTTTAGGGTAAAATGACCATGACGGTCAACATGGATGGGGTAGCTACTGAATTTGGATTTTACACAAAGTTGCCAATGTGTTTGGTGTATGAGAAAAGTGCATCTCGCAGAGCCAGATGGCTTGAGACCGAGCACGAATGTGTTTGGTGTATGAGAAAAGTGCATCTCGCAGAGCCAGATGGCTTGAGACCGAGCAGGAGTAGCTACTGAATTTGGCTTTTAGACAACGTTGCCAATGTGTTTGGCGTATGAGAGAAGGGCATCTCGCAATGCATCATTGCTTGAGACCGAGCACGAGTAGCTACTGAATTTGGATTTTAGACAACGTTGCCAATGTTTTTGGCGTATGAGCGAAGGGCATCTCGCAATGCATGATTGCTTGAGACCGAGCACGAGTAGCTA